AATACAATTATAACTAAAGGTATAGTTACTCCTAACGCGTGTTAATTTATAAATTTGCCAAATATTTTTTTATCACGGCATTATATGTTGCAAAACATAACTTGATGATTTAACACTTTGCAATTACAGAGTGCACTTTCTAAAAAATAGTAATTTATCAAAACAATGGTTAGCACGTTGCTTTATTTGACATTATAATAGACATGGTAATTTTCTAACAAACAATTGCATGTTTACCAAATTCGGCACCACAATTATTGGACATGGCAATTCAATCAACAATCGCACGTTTTCTATATTTGGATTAGATAGTTAGCAGATATTTGGTTATACGGGGGTATGGTAATAATTTTACACGCTATATATCCCAAGCCCGATTTACAAATTTAGAATAAGCGCTATGCACTTCCTTATTTATGCTATTATAACAAAACATGTTGATCAAACATCTAGCATCACATTTTTTTACCGTTGATAGCCATCAAAAATAACCTTATAGCCATTGGTGATATTGATTCATGCTAGAAAAAATAAGTACGTATTATTTAACGGTCCCGCGGGTTCGCTTTTATTTTGGCCTAGGTCGAAGCTAAAATAGCAATAAAAACTTGACCGGCTTTAATAATCAATGGCCTGCATTAAACTTTATGCGGTGTTACCTTAATTTCTCATGGTCGATTTTTTTATTAACGAATATTACGAATAATGACTAGACCCTTTTCCATACTTTATACGATCCCGCGATAAGAATGAGACTTAAAAAGGCTATAAGGATAATACGTATAATGTTCTTAATCAGTAGTTTTGTCAAAATTCATATGTTACAGGGATTTGAAATTTCACAGATCATCAAGATCGTTGATTTTTTTACTTCTGGAGAGATCGTCAAATCTAAGGGGGTTAATTTCACCAGAAAAAACAATAAAATAGATCTGGTATTGGAAGTTATTACTAAGCAGAGTTTCTTTGTTAAGTGTGATCTGACATTGTGTTAGAGTAACGTAATTACTAATCATATAATTTTTTTTATAGCAAGTTTTTTTAGATCTAGCGAATGGACGATATAAAATAGCATGTTTCCACCCGTAAGTTGAGTTAGAAATAACGTTATTTTGCTCATATATTTTTTACTTGATTTACTTGCCGAATTTTTTAAGTAATTTGCTACATATTAGCTGATATAATTTCATTTAATGGAGACTATGAAGACGATTTTTTACTTACTATGTTTTTTGTATTTAGGAATGAAAAATGAGCACTAATGATAACACCACCTCCAAGACTAACGATAATATTACCCTTAGCTATTTTATTCGTGGTGAGACCCTCGAAGATATTTTTGGGGTAACTGTTGATAAGACTTTGGATATTGAGGATCTGAAAACCGAAATTAAAAGTACCTGACCAAATTTATTTCAAAAAGATTTTGATCTGTACAAAGTTGATTTTTTTCAACCTAACCGTTCCTTAATCTCTTTAGTAAATAGTCGTAATGATAAAGGTGAATTCATAAGATCAAATAAAAAAATTTCTGAGTATTTTAACAATGGGTATATTAATGATCATCAATGTAGTGAAAACGGTTCCATTCACCTCCTCATATTCCCTAAAGAGGGATAATCAAATGAAAACCCCTCTTTGACGCATATATGTATTTTTTATTTTTTTTATTTTATAATAAAAATATTTTATCTGTATATTGTCTCCGGCAACAATTATTATGAAAAAATAAAGAGGGGTCCTGTGGCCTCGCCATTTTTTACAATATAATTAATTAGTGGAGACTATTGAGTTAATTTTATTAGTGAAACTAGTTTTGCTAATCTATGCTTATGGTTACTATTGGGATTGAATTCTGATATTTATTTATATAACAATAGAGATGATAAGTTTTTGTATTGACATAATCGCCACTCCCCCATAAGCCCTCTATATTATTTCTTATATTTTCTTTTTTATGGTCTTTATTGCATATAGGACAGAGTACAGATCTATTAAAATCAAAATAATTACTAGATTTAAAACTATGTTTCAAAGTTAAATAAGGAAATTGTTCTAATACTATTTCAATAATGTGTTGTTGCCTTTCTTCCGGGTCTTTAGATAGAACAGAAATTGGTGATCGAAGTTTGGATGGTGTAGGCTGAACATTTATCTGTAGTACAAATAATGTCTTTTTTTCGGCATCCTTTTCGATTTGTGGGGACTCAAAGATTTCAGACATTATCCAAGGATTGAGTCCAGTTTTTTTCTTATATCTTTTATATAACCTAGAACGAATATTATCTGTCAAAGGGCTTGGCAATTCTGTTAATTTAGCTTCTCACTCCAAATATTTGGGAGTTAATGTTTTATTGGCCTTTGCCTGTGTATTCATATTGCCGTGTTATATAATTGTACATCTCTTTAAATTGATAATAGCTGAAAAAAATAAATATGCCTCATAGAAGCATACTAAAAGGCCTGAGCAAAATTGTTTAGTATAAAATCAAGTTTATGCTGTTACCTCAATTTCAATCCCACGCTGTTCACATTTAAGATTATAAAATCCAATTTTATATCTGCCTTCTATACTATTTGCATCGTCATGATCCAACTTACATAGCGGACATAATGATTTATCAGTAATTCCGTAATAATCGTTATTTCCATCACTACCTTCTTGGCATAAATTAGGATATTGCTTTAATATTTTATTACGGAAATAAACATGATCACGAGTTGGATTAGATGGAGATATAGGTGATGCACTTACCTCACTTTCCGCTAAATCATTTGAGTCAGACGATTTAGTCACATAAGGGTAAGACCCGAGGTCGCACGGTACATATTCCACTTTGTTAGAAGTGAAAGTATCCTTACTATTTCGGAATTCTTTGGTAAAATGTTCTATAATATATTGAATTTGCGAGTTAGAGAGTTTTGATATTCTATTCGCACTATAAGATTTAACCTGTTTAATCTTATCCTTTCCTATACCGTTAAATAATTTATAAATCTTACAAGCTCTTTGAGTTTGCTTGCGGAAATTCTCACGTGAGACATCAGAAAGACAATCCCAAATTTCATCATAAACTTGAATTTTTGCCAAGTCATCTGCTCTTTTATTATTTCGGCAAATAGATAAATTATCATTAACCCTCCTTTCGAAACCTTCTGCATAATAATACCAGCTTAAAATTTCTTTTTGCTTAGCATAGATAGTATTCTTTTTAGCTTTCCTTGCTTTTTGATATAAATGAGCCAACTCGATAACAATATGTTTGTCATTTTCATTATGATCTGATATATCCGGCTCTTTATTTTTAATGACTTTAATTAATTCTTCTGATACAGGTTTCAAATATAATTCTTGTATAAATTTTTGCATCTCAATTCGGCTATCCTTCTGAATTGAATCGTTTTTAGTTTCAGTCA